AAAACCGCAACCGTGCACTGATCACTTTGGTCATTTTAAACATACATAACTTTTTTTTATAAACATATCTTGTTTACAATCACTCACCAGGAGTGTATAAAAACACTTAATTTGATTATTATAAACCAGAATCTAGCAAAAAAATGTTTAAATGTCTAGAGCGGTTGAATAAACATGTAGCAGCTTGAACTTTTGCTAATTTTAATAACTATGTAAACATAGAACAACTAGATACCAATCAAATAGCAATTGCGGTCATATTTTTTTGTACATGTGAAGGCGTCGGCTTTTTTCGTTCACTTACACATCAACTGTTTGTTCGACTGTTTAATTTTGTCAAAAAATGTTGTGGGTTTTATAATGCCATACACGAGAATTTAAACGATCGAAATAGAGGAAGAACGATAAATAACAAAGACACAAGAACTAAATATGTGTATTTCATACTGATGAACACCAAACTGACCTTGACTATGTACATGAACAACCGATGAGATCAGGAAAAAAGACCTTTTTTCAATACTACGCACTTTTATAGTGATTTCACCTTTTATTTCATTCTGAATTTATTGAAGAAATGAACTCAAACTCCACAATAAATAGAATTAAATAGTTTAGCTTACCAGATTGTTACTTTTTCGCCTCTTTTTTCGTACAAATTAATTGAATAATATAGATCAAAATATAGTTTTGAGACTGGCGATCGGTGACAAGCAATGTTCCTCCTTCCACTAACGAAATTATACTGACAGACTATTTGTTGATGCGGGCAATATAATTTGCGTGTAATACAAACGAATAGGTTGAAAACAGAGAGAGCAACAAATGAGAGACTGGAATTGAGCGAGTCAACGGCATGTGTGAGTGTTACACTAAAACGATCGCTCATTCACATGAGTGAATTGGAACGAATAAATACTATATGTTAAATTACCTCTCTTTCTCTAAGAATTCCAGTCTCTCAACACACATATGATCGTATCAATATTATGCGCCCGCATTTGCAATGAAATAATTTTGTCTATTATGTTTTCATTAGATTTTGCTATCAGTGGCGGCTCAACTTCATTCATATGAATAGTGTGTAGCGTTCGAATCCATAAATAAACATTGTAAACAAAGTCGTGTATTTTAATCACATTTTATTCATTGGTGAATAGAATCTTTCACACAAATTTTGCAAATTATCGCATTCCAAAGTTCTAAAGAACTAGAGTGCATCCTGCACTGGAAACTAAAAAAAGAGATTATAATTTCTTGGATTGCTAATTTCTTTATCATTTTATGGTGCAAAATTAAATTATTTTATTCGAGTTGATGATCCATTTTATTGTGTTGTACACTACACGTTAAGAATATAAAATGAAAATATTAAGAATTATCGGTAATAAAAGTTATAATTCTGAAAATGTTTACCGTGGGACGATTTATAAGTCCACAAATCGGACACCTATGCCTTTGGTCAGGGCGCAAGTTGAATTGAAGGTAACGTAAACCACACTCGCAATCATACGCTCCTAGATAATAATATTCAAGTGCAGTTGCAAGCGAATCCATTATCCAGTTGACAATAAAGATTGGTTCAAAGTATGATGTAGATGAAATTTGCTTTGGAAGAAATGCTGAAGCTGGGCTGGATGTTCAAATAATGAAGAACGATTCAAGTGAGTCACATTCAGTTTTGTATAACTTTTTAAATAAACGACATTGTTGTGGTCCTGATATATCCACTGGAAAACCTTTTAAACCGTTTAAAAACCTTCATTTTAAAGTTTATCAAATTAAAATTGTCAGACACATCGTGTTTATGCCAAAATATATAAACAATATCATTGTATATAGAATAAATTGCAAGAGATATTCTGTATTTTTCTTTTTCATGGTTTTCTCCTCTGCAATTTTTCAATATCATTTTCAATAGTTGCAGATTAGAAGCAAAACATTTGATTAAATTGAATTACTGATGGTTAATTCCCATTTTGTAGGCAGAGAGAGAGAGAGAGAGCAACAAGTGGGACTGGAATTGAGCGGGCAATATGAAACACTCACACATGATAATGTTAGATCGTTTCGATCGCTCATTCACATATGAATTGAAACGAATACATATATGTCATATTCCCTCTCTCTCTATCTCCGTATTTCTCTCGCTATGGAATTCCAACACACATATGACCGTAATATCAACATGAAGCGCCCGCATATGCAATGAAAGAATTTTGTCATTATGTTTTCATTCGATTTCGCTATCTATTCGGACTCAACTACATTAATATGTACAGTGTGTGGTTAAAACGTGTCCATAAAAAATGCACCATGCAATTACTCGCATGTTTCTTGTTTTGTAAAAATTCACTTTCATTATGAATTGGATTAAACATGAACTAGCATCTTTAATAGTTTTATTTACTATTTATTTTTGTGGAATTTACATTCGCTTGAACATGCAATAACTGCTTTAAATCAAGCGGTCACGGATCGTGCATTAGTTTCTTGCAAATATAATAATGACGCTTGAACATCGATTTTAATTGATGCATGAGTCATTGGTTGGTCATTCGAAGCATACCCGATTTGCTTGTTACGCAATCGATTTATGGTCATAAAATATAGTGCAAAGATTAAGACCAGCGAAAAAATGACTTAGTTATTAGTGAATAATTGATCGTGATATTTAATGACGACCACATGACAGATTTGAAACATAAAAATTATTTTTTTTTCGAAGTCTTAAAGCTAGTTTTCAATAATAAATTCAAATAGCGAATGAAAATGTGAAGAATTTGGCGTCAATCTGTTATTCCAGATGAGTCAAAAATGTATCATCGAAAAATTCGATTTCAGATAATGAGCAATGACCTTTTTTGAATACAGCGTCGTTTGTTAATTTCTTTGGTCACGATAGCTGAGACGACGTCATTCAGAATTGAATGTGCTTCGATACTTACGATTAGTAAGTTTCTGCTGCCGTGAATCTGTACATCGCATGTCTATTTATTCAAATTTTTCATATCATTATTTCGTCTGGTTTCCGAGGGTTTTTCATATCACGTTATCAGAGTGACTTACTGACCTTTCCAATATTTGAATCATCATCGGAAATAAATGAAAATAATGATAAATGGAAAAACTCATTTTTACCGCTATTTCATTAGAGATTATTTTAATTCACAAAAATATTACCATTTGATGGAAAACATATTTTATCACCCAAAAAGTTATAAATAAACACTTCACTTATTTAGAATGTCATTCAATTTATCGACAATAGTTTCAAGAGTTTCTTCCATTCTAGTGAGTCGTTCGTTATGTTTTTCTTTTTCGTTTTCTTCGTGCTGTTCTCTGGCCGTCTTTTCTAGGCACTGAAAGGCGAGTTTCACAATTTTTGAGTCCATGTGAGTGCACCGATTACAGCACAGGCGATGGAAACACAATAAAGGCCGGAGATTATCGTCAGTTTGATTGACTTCGTCATTAGTATTATTTGTGTCGGGAATTAATATTTGATTATTATCGTTTGGCTTGATTCGAATGTTATAAATCGGCTTTGTTTCATCGAATGTATCGAATTCATGACAAAAGGGCAATATTTTAAAGACAGTCGAATAGCTGCGGAAGAAAGATCAAAGAAATTAATTTTCGGAAACAATTTTTTTAAAAAATCAATTGAATAAAACTTGAATTTAAGACCACTTCTTACCTTGTTGCTAATACACATTCATACCGGGCAAGCACTTGAGCGCGTCTTATGAAATTCGTAAGTTCGGCTTCCGATTTGATGGCTTGTGTGTCACTCACCGCCAAACCGTTCAATAAATTCAAAAGAATGATGGTTACGAGGAATAAAAACATCATAAAAACGACGTAGCTGAAAGCATTAGCTTTGAAATCGATGCTAGCCACGTCAAATTCCCCGGTTGACATTACCAAAGTCTTCATAATTGAAAGTCCAAGATTTGAAAATTTATTGAAATCTCCATCATCCTCGTCGCCATTATCGTCGCCACTCTTACTACCATCAGTCTCTTCTTCCGTTGGTTCATGCAATAATGTAAAAAATGACAAAGCAAATGCCAGCAAAATGATTGCATATAACGACAAACTCTTTAAAAAAGAGTAGGTAACTGTTCGTAACATGACATAGTGTGTGCTAAACGACCAAAATGGCAACGATCCTGCCAATAAAAAGATTTCGATGGCAATAAACAAAATCGACAATGAACCAAAGGTTCGACGGTAACTGATTGGGCAGACATCGAATAAAATCAGCATCACCAATACCACCAAAGTGCATTCCAAATAATTTTCCAACCCCTTTAGATAGGTGCACGGTGAAAATGTGAATTGAAACATTTCACGTGCCGCAATGTAAATGGTTAGTATAAACATGGCCACGCGCAATAAATCTTTCAACGTGGACGATCCTTGGTGATTATAATACACCAAAATGTATGTAACAGTCGTCACAGCAAATAATGTACATAATAGAAAATTGATGTAGAAGAATAGCACCAGGCGATTCCATTTTAATGATAAAAAACTTGCAATTAGCGGATGCATCAGCAATTGCTTGTGTTCTTTTGATTTCGAAATATATTCGATGCTTGTCATTTCATCTGT